GGGGACTGGGGAGGATCCTAGTAGAGAACAATTTCCGACCATGTATAATAATCCAACACAATCCTGCCCACAAATCAGAAATATCTCAGAACGAAGCACAACATTTAAACGCCATAACATCTACACCTCGATTCTACATTATAAACTTCACAACCCCAGCACAAGCAAATTAAGGAAACTGCCCCGCCCACTGCGCACAAGCTCACAAACAAAACATAGCTCAATGACACCCTAATTTTTCTCCTGAGTTCCAGCTCAGCCGAGCCCTTGGAAATGAAAAGAAGCCAAGCCAAGCCAAACCAAACCGAGGAGGTCGAGCGGAGATGCAGAGGGAAGTGCGTTAGGAAAGGAGAGAAAGAAGAGGGAAATTAACCTTTCATTTAAAGGATGAAAGAACAATTTAATTAAAAAACGTTGATTAGGATAAGAAAATAAAAAAAAAAACTAAATAACGACGTTTATTTATTTATTTTCTTTTAGACCATCCACTATCTAGTCTTATTTGTCACTACTTACCATAGTATTTAGTAACTTAGTTGCGCTTACGCAGCATCCAATTTGGCTTCCTCTAGCAAGAATATGAGCATGTTTTTATGCTTAAAAATAAATAGCTGAGTGCATCAACCACGTGAATATATAATAGTAGAAAATTCTGAAAAATAGAATCTTGAATTGGTGACTTCGGCAGCCGAAAGTAAAGTTGGTGATCGATTCTACTTTGATGGTCACTATACAAGAAAAAGTGCCTCAACATGTTCATTAAAGAGCCTGCTTCAAACAATCGAAGAGCTTAAGCTCGAAACTTATCATCCAGTGGGGAGGGACACAAACGAAACTGATCTGGTCAAGGATGCACCTGCATTTGCAGTGTCTCGTAGTATATGTTCTTGATCTGCTTTATTAATGATACTGGATCAACTTCATGGCTAGTGAGCAAAGTACCGAATCCACTTCTTCAAAACTGCTTCGGTTCTTCCTTCAGTCCTCGTCGAAGCTCAGATCTTGGTTTTGCAACTTCGACAAAAATTACCCGGCCATCCAGAAACTACAAATCAAGCAGTTTTGTATCAGTAAATCACATTATAAACAATACTATGGAACTAAGGGTATGAAAATGGTATAGTGCACACCAAATTCAATAGCATGAAAAGAGTTTAAGAAGCTAACTGTAATTGCATCTTTAGAATAGAATACAAAACATAGATATCAAATAATTTGAGGTCACCATATCGTAGATGCATGGTATCGTATAAATACCCAAGAGAATACAGATTGCACTTCAACTAATTGTCAGCCAGATTTTCATCAGCAAACACATTATCAGAAGATGGTAACCAACGGATTTCGAGTTATGAGTCGCACGCAAGTCAGGATCACTACCAAAATTTAAGTGCCAGTTTGGGAAAGCTTCCAGAATTGCTAAAAAGTTGAGGTTATGGACTGAAGCCGGCCTTTTGTAGTTGACTATCAAAGTGTCCTTCAGATCCCCACACTTAGGTTATAGACGGCCAAATATACCTTCTAGCTGGAAGCAGCCAAAAAAATCCCATTAAAGGATATTTAACCCTTAGGGCGGAGTTGGGGTGGGGGTCTACAATGAAGTATATTGATTTTTCCCCAATAACCAAATACTTTTGTCTGTAAATACTGCATATTTGATTCTATCCATAAATCTATTTGATTCCCTATGAGTCAAAGTCAAAAATTAATTTTAACCACACATTTCATGGACCCAGAACTTTTACCAGCATTTCAACCACATATTTCATCAACTTTTATCAAAACGTGCTAAAACTTTTATCAGAAGCTTCGTCAAACACCCACTCCTAAAGAAGAAAAGGCATATGAACCCACTCAAACGCAGCTCAAAATACGCAGAAACTTGAAAGATCAACTGAATCAGCAAATCCAAAGCTTGACCACTCCCCTCTTGTGAAATGAATGAAAATATAGAAAGACACGAGCTAAGAGATACCTTTCTTAAGGCTCAACTAATTAATCATATGTTCTCAATAATATGTGAAGAGCAATAGAGGCGTATAGGCAAAAATCGCATATCTTTCTGGTGATGCTATTATGGACTGATGAGCCATTGCATTCTTTTTTGGATACTAGTTTTTGGGGCAAAAAAGTATAAATATTTCTCGAGTACTACTGAGTGTCATAATACCTCATAAACCACACAATTTCTAAGTTACACCTGAGTTGTATGCTTTCGTTTCTCTAGATGAAAGTCACTTCTCTTTAGGTTCTACTTCTTTCTATTATTATTGGTCTATAAGTTTCTAACACTTGTCAATACAACAACAATCCCAGATTTGGTTTAAGAAAATAGTACTTCACAGCTCACAGACTTATAAATTTTGTAACATTTTTTTCCTTGTGTCTTCCACTCCACAAATTTGGAATTCAGGGAGGTCGAGGGTTGATATTGAAACTACTCCCAGTCTCCCACCTACCAATTTTCAAATGGTTCCATCCGGGTCAGCCAACACGAGCACCTGTACCCATTTTCCAACTAAATTTGACAGAAACTTTACTTCCTCTGGAACGATTTGGATTAAAATGAGTATCTTGAAAAATATTAACACTTTCCTCACTTAATTGGCCTTTTGTATGTAAAAGATACAAATCAAGATTTACGTTGTTCTCGTGCTAGCAAGAGTAACAAGAATCATGACTTTGGAGGCAAACACAAACCCATAAGTGCAGGAAACCATTTCTCATATCTAAGGTGAACAATTGCATTATTCTAACAATCACTGTAGTCATCATAAAACTCGGGAAAACATTTTGCATCTATCGGTCTATGTATAACTAAACATTTCAACGAACTTTGCATGATTGAATTTAATATTACTTTCTAACAAAAGCACACACGCAAAGATCTGCTCACCTTCCCATGCATTCCTTCAATGGCTTTCTTAGATTCCTCCTCCGTTGCATATCGCAAGAAAGCAAAACCTCTTGGTCTGTTCGCAATTTTATCCATCACCAGATTTACTAGGAACATATAACACAACCATTCCATAAAAGTGAATCAGTATTAACCAATAAATGACACCAATAGGGCTTGAAATAAATAATTGATCAACACTTGAAGCTAAAGCTATTTTCTCACCTTCTACAAGCTTGCCGAAGTTCTTGAAGGCATTCCTTAAACTCTCCTCTGTAGTCCGAAATGAGAGCCCTGCAGAGATGGCAATATTTTGTGGCATAACCTTTTTGTATAACAATGTGAAAAAATCGGAACGGACATATATGAACAAAGATGATGCACGAGCCATTTTCATCAAACATGCAAGACGACTTGCACAATATGCTCAGTGCATGTTTGGTATCAACTACTGAACATGACAATACAATCAACAAAATTTTAACTTCTTAACACTCTCTTGTACCATTCGATCCTTCCAACCAAACAACCCATAAAGGTATATATATATATAGCATCTTATCCTTCAAAGATTGAATCTTATCCCCCCAGAACTGCTCCGTTCTCTGTTAATGGCATTATTTACTACACAGAGACAAGGATCTTGAACAAAGATAAGGCAAATAAAAATAAATAAAAACAAGAATCGTGAATATATATAAAAGAACGAAGAATCTTCAAATTTGGGGAGGAAAAAAATTAAAAATTTTGAGAACGTAATAAGTTAAAATTTGTTCCGTCAGTGAAGACTTTACAAACTTACTTGAATAATATTTGTTCACGAAAATACAATAAAATTCAAAATATTACTGCCCATAAAAGGTTCTCCATTGGTTTACAGCGTGAAATGGGTTGAATCATAATTTTATAAAACAAATAAAATAAATGATGCAATCAAGAAAAATAAATAACAAAAAGTGAAATTATAAGAAAGCACATATAGAAAGAGAGAGCAAACCACTGATGAAGAGCTTGGTGGATGGATTGAAGGGGGTCCTGGGTGTAGAAGAAGAAGAAGAAGAAGAAGAAGAAGAAGAGGGTGGGAGGCATGACACGACGCATATATTACGCATTGGGGATCGAAGTGAGGGATGACACAGTCTTTTTACTCCGAGCAGCGTTCTGCTACTTGGTAGTTGTGGTGGTGCAAGAAAGATGTGTGGAACAAGATGGCTTGTCACAGCTGTGGTGACCATTTTCTTCCTTCTGCAGGCAGGCGACGGCGTGGCACGGCGGAGTGGGGTGAGGATAGGGAGCGTGAGTAATGAATTATTATCCTAATCCCTTCAAGTTTGAGGAAATATCATTTTGGCCTCGGCCCTTTCCAAATACTTTGGAAATTGTCGTTTTAAAAAATTGTTGTAATATTTATAATATTGATAAATCAAATTACTCAAAGTGAAAATAATAATAATAATAATAATAATAATAATAATAATAATAATAATAATATCAAATTACTCAAAGTGAAAATAATAATAATAATAATAATAATAATAATAATAAACTTAGCCAAATGAGTTCTTAATGTATTTGAATGAATACATACAGATACAGTGTAGTATAATTAAAATAATCTACTAAACGTCAAAATTTGACTTTCTCAACAATTGGCATTTAAAAGGGATATCGTTCAAAGTGTTAATTATTGTAATAAAAAAATGATGTTAATTACTATTCTCACTGTAGAATCTGTTTGAAGCGCATTATTTAGTCAGAAAAACGAAAATATAGCCTTTTGCCATCAAATTCAGCCCTTTTTTCTGACTTGCTCTCTCTAAGCGGGGCCCAACTACCTGTGTAACGGTCATTTTCTTAATTTTCATGAGGTAGAAAATGTGCTCCAAACAGGGGCTTAGTTAATTACTCGGACAAAAATAAGGACAATGTAGTAAGAAAATTAAGAGCAAAAATATTATGTCAATATTCAATAATGAAAAGGATAATATGGTCAAAATGTCCACAAATTTAAAAGCACCAATCTTTAAGTCATAACAGAGTTTCAAACCACAGTGATGAAGTTCAAGTTTAGATTTTCAGAGACAACAATAACCTTATTCAACTAAGTAACCATTCAGTTCTGCCTTCCAACGTTTCTTGAAGACGACTCAACAATAAAACATCACTCTTTTCACGTTCTCCCTGAGCTGGGGTAGAGGTTTCACAGCAGCATTGGCTGCTGCAGCCTTCGCACTCCTAGCACCACCACCTTCTCCACGGCCACCAGCTACACCACTAGTCATTGACCCTCTGTCGGACATATGAGGCTCCATGTAGAAACGTGCACGAAATGCAGCCAAATGTGCATAGTATGCAGGAGGTACTGCAGGAAAATGTAAACATTTGTTTAACTGCATATAAATTTTTCTCATTAAGTACAGGCTATATAGCCTATAGCAATCAAAAGGAAGGAAAATTCTTTGGTCTGTAACAAGTTATCCAAGTAGCAGTCCCAATATTTAGAAAGAACCAAATTGGTTCTCGACCTCTCATTTTAGTTGCACATACAGTCCCAATAATTGAAACTGTCCAAATCTCTATTTAGTCGTCACGACATCACATGACCTTCATTGAAATATTTGGCACGTCAAATTTCTTGGCACCAACTCCACCCAAGTCGATAGACAGAATCTAGCTTCATGAAGTAGCAAGTCTGAGGGTCACTTAAAGAGAAGATTTGGACATTTCTGGCATTGAAGACTGATGGTGGAAGAGTAATTTGAGGTTGATGACCAGCAATTCGGGCAATAAACTGAGAATCAAAGTGCAGTTCTCTCTGAAAAATAAGAAATCATATAAAAAAAGAAGTGTACCAACGGAAACAGAGCGGGTGCACCTCGCATACCTGCCATTGAAATGAAACTGATCAGAAATTTATTTTACCTAATATAATCACCAGTGCCACAGGCACTTACGTGTAGCATAGGTTATTTGTGAGGGACTGGAGGGCGTCAGCTGTAAACTTATTTTCATCCCATAGCACATGATAATGTGATGGCCGGCTGGTACCCTTTAAGATTGAATCCCAGTAAGCGACACATTAATGATGTTATATCAAAGTATAAACTGAATGGAAGTGCAGTTCTACCTTCACCCCAGCATGGCTGCAGAGGTAGAAATCAAACTCAGTAGGATGGCATATCTTAGAATCTACTACGGTACCTGAAAATATTCATATTTAACGTGAATCGTGTTGTATAATAATATCAAACACGAAACACTAAAGCTGAGTGACTCAATTAAACTCCCTACCAGGCAATACATTTCCACTCTTGTCAACAGCATGTCTATCATTATGGTTACTGGCAAACAACCTTGTATGATGACGTTTCTGAACCACAACAAATGTAACTGGGGGTTGATAGTTTGGTTCCAAAGATGCACACGCCTGAATTAGATTAAACAAGGAGCAATCAAAAAATAGGAATTAGATGCCTGTTTCATAGAACTCGAAAGAGGGAGTACCTTACGGATGGCATCAAGTTCATAAAGCAGAACTTGATAGAACTGCCCTTCACTGACACCATCCCTGTAGAAGCCGCATATAGTGAGGATACAAATGACGGAAAGAGTGGTAACCAAAATGACTAAATAATTTCATTGATAATTGACAATACCTATAGAAAATAATCTGCTGTGGTTTCTGTCCAGTTGCTTTATGGAAAGAAATGAGTAGTTCCCTAAATTGTAGAACCACAAAAACATGTAATTACGATCCTAATAAGCATAAATGATAAATCAACTATTTCTCTCGTATAAATGAGTGGAAAGGGGTGGAGTAAAAGAATTTCCATTGGCAGGTGGAAGTGTTAGATGTCATACTTGATCATACCACCCGTCACAGATCCTCTAACAGGATCTTGCCAGGTTTTAAACAAATCTTGGATGAGCTCTTGCCTATGAGCTTGGGCACAAACCAACCCAGCATATTTTGTGATCTCTGGATAGTCCTGGGAAGCAACAACCTGAAATGAAATTCTAGCAACATTAAGTTGACCTCGACAGAAAGATGAAACCAGACATATGGAGGAGGAAGCATCTTATAGCTCTCAAGTGAGAATCTTACGGCAGCAATGGATGGGCTAGAATCCTCGCCAGGTTGGGGATGTGTAACATCGGCTCCAAAAATAATCGTAGGTCGGTCACTGACAAGAGGGATACGCCTAGTGAGTGCATCGACCAGCACAGTGTTTCTCCCTCCAACCTTCACGTTTATCTTCAGTGCTACATTTGCAAGATATTGTTGTTTGTTCGCCTTGTACACATTCTTTTGCAGACAGCACTGTGAGACAATACCAAGATAGGTCTCACATATTCTTTTCAGATCACCTGTACAAAATCAAATATGCATTTTATTACAAAATCAAACAAACATCAATTTCGTGCATGGTGCCTAAAAATAGAAAAGGCCTGTTATTTTGATTATCATAAGTTTCTTACCATAAAGGGGTCCGTTATTGTCTGGTAATATGACAATTAGCAAGTCAAGCTCCTTCCCATGATGCTGCAGCTTTGCCATGACATCTCGAAATCTAGCTTTCAAGACTCTATCTACCTGATCAGGCCGGCCGCTGAAAACTGGTAGAATAGGTTCAGGGTTGAAGGCCTGTGAGAAAATAACAAAAATCAGAAATCACATATTACAGTATAGAGAGAGTTAAAAATTCAAATGCCTTTACCATGCCAGAAGTAATACACATTTGAGCAAGGTCATGACAAAAGCTTTGTGCCATATTGTCTTGCACATTGCGGGCGAAGTTAATGCAGATCCAACTGTTGACAGTGCCTCCATTAATCATCCTCTGCAAGATCAAGTATGATTTATTTATTTCTTAATTTTTTACAGCAATTTGAACAACATTGCAAGGTGAAAGCTATACTTTTTGGAGCAACAAGCAAAATAAACACCAGAAGATAACCATGCATGAAGTTCTGGTTCATTTGTGGCAAATAGTCCCTCATAACTATGCATGAACTTTAAAATCAAACTTACCCTGTTCATCATGTTCCACTGCCCAACTTGTGGCAAACAGTCCCTGTCCCGACTAGAATCGTGATATTTAAGCTGTAAAAACAACACCAAACTTGTGAAACAATTTACCATCAAAAGGACCAAGAAAATTTAAGTCAACATATATACACAGCAAGAGAAGCGATCAAAGTTAAGTACCCAGGGAGCGGGCAGAATGCGAGCCTCAACTTGAGCCAGTTTTTGACTAATTTTAATCCCGAACTCTTTAGCGTAAGGGTCCTCTGAATAAGCATTATGATGCACAATCTGTGATGAAAAAAGGTGTCAAAGCACTTCTAGCACTCTCAGCATAAAAATGCATCGTTCAGATACCAAAATTGACAATTTGCGAAAAAAAAAAAGAAGAATTTATATTAGAAAATTCACACATTCTCCACGAAAATTAAGAAATGCTTGATACTAATGCTTCACTCTTTCAAATGAGAGATTAATAAAATAATGATGCATGAAGCAAAATCATAGTGTTATAGTACCTTGCACTCAATGAATTAGTGCATACTGAATCCATTAACAAGGGACTAAATATATCGAGCAGTACTGAATATGATGTAAGGAAAAATGTCTACATAAGTTTCATCCTTTTCCCCATCAATTCTTATAATGCCTCATGAAAACCTATAAGTAAAATAAAATATTGCACAAGCATCCCTTGGATCAAACCACAATAGCCACAGAGATGAAGGTTGGAATTTTAATGTAGTATATTCTCAGGTTCAAAAAATTGTGCAGGACGAACCTGAAGAATATCACGCTCCCTATCGCTGGGACGCTGGCATGTGACCCTCAGGAGTGCAGTAATCTGTTTCTCATTCAACCTCTTAGAGTACCTCTGCCCCACCACAATCTTGCACACCTGGAATATCAAACAACTGTTTTAATATCCAAAATCTAAAGATACTAAACCCCATGGTTATAGGTGCAAATAGACTGACCTCCATTGGCAAATAGTTTGGTCTCCGTGGATTTCCAACTTGTAGACAAGGCAACTGAGTGTATTGAATGACATACTCATAAGTCTCTCGAAAGTGTTCGACCACGGATTTCATTGTGCCCCTTTCATCAACCGGAAATCTAACACACAGTATAATTTCAGGCTATGAATACACAGAAAACTTCTAAACAATATAAGAAACTTAATTATTTTCGACGATGAAATCGGATGCTGTGAGAAACTGGTTCCCCAAGGAAAATCAACAAATATTGGGAAGTTCAGACGGACCAATCAAAATGCCAAGCTACAGATCCTTGAGGAAGTCCTAAAGTTTCATGCTCAATCAATTATATTCATCGAAGCAAAAGTTTAGGCTGACCGATAGCCGTAACATGTGATCCTTACATTAGCTCTCGTGTTGCTTGCGATGTCAAACCAGAGATGCGGTATTTCCTGCGCATATTTCCTCGATGAGTAACGTCCACCTTCACTCCTCTCAATGCTTTCTTGATCTGTAAAATTAATGTTTATAGTATAACATGAAAAGAAAAAATCATGTTAATATGTGTATATAATAAGAGAAAAAAATCCATGATGCTCCAATTAAGGGAGGGTGAGACATGAGAACAGAAACAAATATGGTCAGCTAATATCATGAAACGTCGGATGAAACTTCAAAAAGCGAAATGATCTAGTAAAAATTGATCATATCAAACCTTAACAGGAATCGCCATTAACCGCGGTTAGCAATTTTGAATTATTCCTTCGAAAAATGTTGATTTTTGTTTTCTAAAATTGTTGAAAAGACAATTCAATTCATGACTCAAACCAGTAGCATAAGATCAGTGATCTGAACAGAAGCTTGTGCCTTGAGGTGCGCCTAGCGTCATATTCAGAACCTCAAGTTTAAAAGCTCCCTACCATGACAACTAAAACGTGCAGGTAACCAAGCTCAGTAAATAAGAAGAAATGAAGCGGACAATCAAAATGCCCTGTGAAAAAATAATGAAGAGAGAAGATGCAGCATCTAACCTTTACTCGATCAGCATCAGACAGTGGTCTAGCCGAAACATCCCTATTCAAAAGCTGTGTGACAAAATCAATCACTGGGAGTGGCTCAATGAAAGCAGTAGAGGAAATATCTGCTCCATGACACAACATTGTACGGCAGAAGAAAGATTAGAAAAGATGAAGGCAGATTTCATTATACATATAAAAACTACTTCTCCTATGATTAAAGCAAACTAGAGATAAATTTTAAAGGTTAAAAGAGGATTTATTTAGTAGAAAGAAAATGCAATTTAAAATTCAAATAAATGCAGGACTAGCTCACCAATGTTCAGGGACAACCCCATCTGAGTTGGGCGAATACTTTGGTAGAAACCACACCAACTTTCCAGCCCTTCACCCAAAGGCTCCTTTCTCCCTAAATGAGGGGAATAGAATGAGCGGCTAGCCGAACAAAAACTGCACTCAACGAAGAGAAATCAAACCAAATGACAGCAAGAAAATTTGATAGCAGAGATAATAAGTAAAACAAGGCCGATATGCCTACCGGGTAGTTGGCAATTCACGGAGAACAATGTCCAAAACCTGAAGAGCTTCTTGTGGCGCATCAGCTAGCCTTCCCTGCAAAAACATCCCTAAATGATGCAAGTCAGCACGTGCAGCAAACTTGATCACGACCTTGAACTCCCTCTGCCGCCTGCATCAATAGAAAAACCAGAAATCAATGGCCAAAAACTTGTTGCAGTATAAAAAATAATGCGCAAAGCAGGGTAGATAACAAACACTGAAGAGAATATGGAATGAAACCTAGCGCTGGCTGGACCATCTTCTTCATCAATAAGGATGATCTTGAACTCTTTTGAGACAAAAGGGAGAGGCCCAGCAGTGTAAAGACTCTTTCTTCCATCATAGGCAGGAAGCCTCTGTCCCAAATGCGATTCCCGGTAAAGCTTCACCAATTGCTGTATCACAGCACGATTAACGTCACGGTCTGAGATCTCAGGGTTAATTGATACCTAACACCAGTAAGATAAAAATGAATAGCGATCAAATTGTACAAGACAAAACAACCCAGTGCCTAAAAAGAAACAAACAAAATTAAATAGGGCACGGAAGAACTCACATCATAATGATGGAAGTCCTTGTCAGGCAACTCGGCAAAAAGGTGATTAGCCTTCACAACACACTTGGTACCATAGCTACCCTTGCTAGGCCGTAGAGGAAATCCCATTGACTTGCTCGATGCAGGTTGCATTGAATCGCGAGGAGATGCTTCTAGCTGGATAACTTGCTGCTGGATTTGTTGTGTCACTTGTGAAGAAGTTGCCTCATGTGGCTGGGATGATGAACGAGCCTCAGCGTGTGTCTGTGCAGGCCTCTGGTATGGCAATGGATGAGTTGTCACCCCAGCTTGATATGGGACCTGGGTTGCTTGGTGCAGCTCGGGAGCTGGTGGCCCGAACAGCCCACCAGCAGGAGCCCCATGGCCACCTCCAATGCCACCACGGCACTGAGGGGGTGCCCCCCTTTGATACTGCCGACCACCCCTCCCTTGCTGATATTCAGGATGCCCACCATAATACTGTTGCGGAAAGACTCTTCCACCTCTCCCACCGTGGCCACCATACCCTCCACGCTGTTGTCCCCATCCTCTTACTCCACCTTGCTGCTGTGGATGTTGTCTTGGTGGATGTTGGACACGGCCATGTCCTCCTTCAGTCTCCTGGGAGTCAGGGCCCTCGCCTCTTCCCGGATGATCAATTCGCTTCTTCCTCGGCATGGTAACTACCACTGCAAAGAGGAATTAGAAACTGTTTCAACCAAATTAAATTACAGTTAAAGTACATGAATAATCATAGTCACATAAACTGGAAAAAATAGTAAACAACCAGGGGCAGAAATATAAAGTGAAAAAAAAATGCAACTTCTGGAACAATGGGCATAACTGAGATAGAAATGGTAGTTCAAATCCGAGCAATGCATTATTAAATCCCATCCCACAAGAATTTTAAAAAAAATAAAAATAAAGAAGAAGATAAATGATATCATAATTTGATCGGTAACCATTTTTAAGTATTCATCCTGCTCAAATGAGTTTCTTCACTGAGAACAATAAACATTAATAATACTCGGGTTCTTATGCATTACAATCCGAGCAGATAATCACACCCTAAAGCATTATCACATATAAAAGACCAAATGTCATTGCCAAAACATTTAGAGTGCGTTTCGTTTGCTATTTTCAAGTTGTTTTCAATTTTTAGTTTTGCAATGCACTGAAAGCGTGTTCAGTCTTTTTGAAAATGTATATTTGAAAACAAGTTTAATCCCACGTTTGAGTCACATTAAAATTTTCATTCTCATTCTTCTACTCATTTTCAACCATACATTCTTTAAAAAAATAATATTTTCCATCACATCAATAATTTTTCATTTTTTTTCAACCACACATTCTCCATCAATCTATTATTCCAAAATACATTTTTCCAAAATAATGTGGCTCAAACACACCATAAACTTATAATATAAAGCTAAAAATGTATTTTTGACGTTTTGAATGTTTTCGGTGAAAATTTTGAAAACACTCAAAAAAATGGAAAACAAGCGTTTAAATAAAATTTAAAAAAATATAGATATAAAATTCCAATAAATAAATTTTTTGAAAATATGACATCTAAAATTCTGAAAAAGAAAAATTCTAAAAGAATAAATTCACAAAAATTTATAAGAAAAATGAAAATAAAAAATTCATTCTCTTTAATGATTATATACATAAAATTTCTAAAAATATATTTAAATGAACACGAATAAAGATGTTCTCAATCCATGTCGTTAATTTTTATTTTTATAATTTGAACTCAATTTCTTATTTGTTTTTATTTTAATTTTAATTTTATAACGAGAAAAAAATGTTGTAAGACTTACCAACTTTAAAATGTATATTATTTGATAATATATTAACATAAAATTGTTATATTTTTACTGAATAATCAAATTTCATGAAATAAAATGTTATAAAACAAATTTTCGAAATTTCAAATGAAACATGTTTTCTAGTTTTCATTTTGAAAAATAATTTTTCAGAATGACAAATCAAACGCGTTTCTAACAATTCTAAAATAAACCGGAAAACTAAAAATGAACTCAAAATTCAAAACTGAAAACCAATAAGTTGAAAATTACGACTTTGATCTTCGAAAATTCATAAAGCATATATTCTCATGACATAAACCTAATATTAATCATCAAAATGAACTCATAAAAAGTCACTAAAACTCTCAATCCAACATGATCAAAGCAAAAAAACAGAGAACTTAACAAACTCAGAAACATCATTAACAGTACAAACTACACAAGCCTTTCCGTTTTACCTTGAAACTGCTTTAGAATTCGTCGTCCGACTGCTAAGGAAAAAAACCGAACCCAACACACCACCTCTTTCCCCAAACACTAACGGAAACCCACAAGAATTGAAGCAAGGGATAATTACAAATAAATTTGAGAGAGAATGGGGAGGGAGGTGCGTGAAAATGGAAGTGGATAGTTCAGAAAGTGACTTGGTGGTTTATAGAGGTTGCGAAAAGAAATGATATTCATTACGTGATATTAAATGATAAATTTATTTAAATATAAAGTCAAATGATTCATTTAATTTGATCTATCGAGTGTGACCATTTAAATTAATGTTTTAGCACATATGATATTAAATAACATTATTCCTCCGAAAATGCCATCCATGTGAATACATAATACAAACAAGTCATAGATTTTTGTTACATAAAATTTAACAATTTATTAACCTTTCGTACAATAACTTTTTACATGTTAAACATAAAATAATAAGATAAAAATAAAAATCTTCGATCGATTGAAATTTAAAGTTATTAAACTCGCAAACGATAGTGTCCACGTGTTAAATTGTAATTTTTCTTTCCTAGCAGTATGGTTTTCATGAACAGTACTCCATATCTTAAATAAAACATTTAATTGGAAGTAATGATAATAAATAAAACACTTGAAATCTTAGCATAGTCAATTTTCACATATTTTGAAATGTTAATGGGCTAAAATAAAACTCTTGAATTTCAATCGAGGCTAAAACGTTATTTTAGTAAACTTTGAGGACTTTAGCGCAATAAACAAAAGCAAGTGCCTGGGAACAGATGCCCCATGTTTGTCATATGATTGGTCAAGATCAGTCTCGGTGCTGCAGACGAAAAATGCAATAAACAGCATTCATTTCTAACAAGCCAATCGCGCGTTTATAAAAATATTTTCTAATCGCTTACCGCCACGTGTAAGAGGAATTTTTTCAAATAGTTGTACAAAAATAATATAACGCTATTCATTTCCACTAAAATTAAACCCTAAATTGGCACATCATTATAATGAGAATTTGAGAAAAAAATGTGTTTTGTAATAGTAATTTTTTAAATAATGTGCTGTTAAAAACAAAATGAAAAATTTTAAATTTACGTATATTATTATTTTATTAGAAAATATATGGTTGATGGAAAGATAAAGAAATTTGAATTATAATTTTAATAAGGGTCAACTGGGGCTAACCACAATTCTAGGTCGCAACTGCATGATATTAAATGATACGTTCGCTTGAATGAAATATTACGTGATTCATTTAATTGAATATATCAAGTGTGACAACATAAATTTGTATTCTAGCATCAGAGATATATAACATTACTCCTATCTAGCACTCATGATGTTAGAGTGTCAGTCTATGTGGCCACAATTGATAAGTTCAATTGAATGAATCATGTGACATTGCATTTAAGTGAACTTATCATTTAATGTCATGAAGTTACCACAAAAATTGGTGCTCGACACTAGTGATGCTAAATAATCTTACTCGTATAAAAATACTACCGTATTGGTTGTCAGTGCAAACTCATTAAGGGTCTAGTGGGTGCAATTGCCCAAATTCAACAAAGTTTAGTTTGAAATTATTTTTTAAGTGGTTATGTCTCACCCCCACTGAACAATGGTCCTGGGTCCGTCATTATTGGTTGCGTAACCATACATTCTTTAAAAAAATAATATTTTCCATCACATCAATAATTTTTCATTTTTTTTCAACCACACATTCTCCATCAATCTATTATTCCAAAATACATTTTTCCAAAATAATGTGGCTCAAACACACCATAAACTTATAATATAAAACTAAAAACGTATTTTTGACGTTTTGAATGTTTTCAGTGAAAATTTTGAAAACACTCAAAAAATGGAAAACAAGCGTTTAAATAAAATTTAAAAAAATATAAATATAAAATTCCAATAAATAAGTTTTTTGAAAATATGACATCTAAAATTCTGAAAAAGAAAAATTCTAAAAGAATAAATTCACAAAAATTTATAAGAAAAATGAAAATAAAAAATTCATTCTCTTTAATGATTATATACTTAAAATTTCTAAAAAAATATTTAAATGAACACAAATAAAGATGTTCTCAATCCATGTCGTTAATTTTTATTTTTATAATTTGAACTCAATTTCTTATTTGTTTTTATTTTAATTTTCTAAAGAGAAAAAAATGTTGTAAGATTTACCAACTTTAAAATGTATATTATTTGATAATATATTAACATAAAATTGTTATATTTTTACCGAATAATCAAATTTCATGAAATAAAATGTTATAAAACAAATTTTCGAAATTTCAAATGAAACATGTTTTCTAGTTTTCATTTTGAAAAATAATTTTTCAAAATGACAAATCAAACGCGTTTCTAACAATTCTAAAATAAACCGGAAAACTACAAATGAACTCAAAATTCAAAACTGAAAGCCAATAAGTTGAAAATTACGTCTTTGATCTTCGAAAAGTCATAAAGCATATATTCTCATGACATAAACCTAATATTAATCATCAAAATGAACTCATAAAAAGTCACTAAAACTCTCAATCCAACAGGATCAAAGCAAAAAAAAACAGAGAACTTAACAAACTCAGAAACATCATTAACAGCACAAACTACACCAGACTTTCCGTTTTACCTTGAAACTGCTTTAGGATTCGTCGTCCGACTGCTAAGGAAAAAAACCGAACCCAACACACCACCTCTTTCCCCAAACACTAACGAAAACCCACAAGAATTGAAGCAAGGGATAATTACAAATAAATTTGAGAGAGAATGGGGAGGGAGGTGGGTGAAAATGGAAGTGGATAATTCAGAAAGTGACTTGGTAGTTTATAGAGGCTGCGAAAAGAAATGCTATTCATCAGAGTACACTGCTAATTACGTGACATTAAATGATAAATTTATTTAAATATAAAGTCAAATGATTCAGTTAATTTGATATATCAAGTGTGACCATTTAAATTAATGGTTTAGCAAATATGATACTAAATAACACTATTCCTCCGAAAATGCCATCCATGCGAATACATAATACAAACAAGTCATAGATTTTTGTTACATAAAATTTAACAATTTATTAACCTTTCGTACAATAACTTTTTACATGTTAAACATAAAATAATAAGATAAAAATAAAAATCGTCGATCGATCGAAATTTAAAGTTATTAAACTCGCAAACGATAGCGTCCACGTGTTAAATTGTAATTTTTCTTTCCTAGCAGTATGGTTTTCATGAGCAGTACTCCATAGCTTAAATAAAACATTTAATTGGAAGTAATGATAATAAATAAAACACTTGAAATCTGAGCATAGTCAATTTTCACATATTTTGAAATGTTAACGGGCTAATATAAAACTCTTGAATTTCAATCGAGGCTAAAACATTATTTTAGTAAACTTTGAGGACTTTAGCGCAATAAACAAAAGCAAGTACCTGGGAACAAACGAGGCCCCTCATGTTTGCCATATGATTGGTCAAGACCAGTCTCGGTGCTGCAGACGAAAAATGCAATAAACAGCATTCATTTCTAACAATCCAATCGCGCGTTTATAAAAATATTTTCCAATCGCTTACCGCCACGTGTATGAGGAATTTTTTCAA